GTGGTGGTAGCTATCAAGGAGGAGGCAGCGAGAGTTACCAAGCACAACAAGCACCAGCTGCGCCGGTAGCAGCCCCTGCAGCTCAACCTGCATATACTGAAACTGCAGCAGCACCAGCAGCTCAGTCATATCAGTCGGAGGCAGTTGCTGCCGCTCCGGCTGCAGCACCTTCTTCACAACAGTCTTACAACACCGGTGGTTCAAGGAAAATGCTCAAGCATGCAAAAGCAGCAAAAATTGCGGCAATTAAATCAAAAAAGGCGTGAAGCTTTTGAATTTAAAAGCAATTAATTGAAAGCCATGACAAAATAGCCTGGATATGTAGTTAGTTATTAATTGATACAAAAAACATTTTCGGTCTTGCCATATTTGTATGTTTATAATTGTCATTTATAAATATTTTAAGAATTTACTTATTGTTTGCTCAAAAAACTTTAAATGATTTAGTTGAGTAAGGGTCAAAACACTATATTTATACATAGACAAATCATTTTACAAACAAAATACCTTAAAACCCAAAAATAATTTTATTTTTTACTTATAATTCTGAGAAAACAAACTCTTAATAACTCCAAATTTTGATCCAGAGAAAAGTTCTGAAATTATTTAATTATCAACAAAAATTATTTATTCTCATATTTAAGTGAATATAAAACAATTATTTATATAGATAACAAAGCAAGAAAATTTTAGAATTATTTAAACACGCCTGCACCCCAACCATTTAGAAGCATCAGAGGGTTTATTAAAAGGCTGTAGAATGTTTATTTTAAATTTAGTTTAAAAACTTTATTTTCCAACCTTAATGTCAAGATGATTACGTGCCAAATCAATAAATAAAGGGTCAACAGGAGCAGGCTTTCCTCCAAATTTTTGTTTCTTTTTTGTCTTTAAAGGTTGAGTAGGCTTCTAAATATAAAAATATTTAAAATAAAAATTTATAAAATATAGGCAAATTTAAGTTTTTAATATTTAATTAAAAAATAAGAATTTTCTCATGAACCCTTACCCACAACATCCATTAGTTCATAAAATCACGTTTGACAAGTAAATCTCAAAACGAATTATTACGATGAAAGGTTATCATCAAAACATATTCGATTTTGGTATCATTCGACACCAAAAAATCTGACTCTGGTTACGCCCTTATTCGATACATATCTTTTCAAAAGCCTTTCAAATGCACACTTCTCCCAACACAAAAGTTGGGATAAGTCCAAAAAAAGATTTTCTAAAAAAAACCTCGTTATCAACATCCATCTGCTCATTCTCTGAAGCATTTAATTGCATAGAACTAACAGTAGAGATCAAAACACTTGCGTCACCTGATTCACTCCGACATAATTTTAAAAGATTTTCAACTTCGCGGCATCTAAATTTTTTATCTAAAATATAAAGAGAAAACTATTTTTTACTTTGTCAAGTAAATTTCAGAAAAAGACGGCTCGTTCAGTTGTTCAAAAAGAGCTGTACATGCAATTCTAAATATGTTGAATTATTATTTAAAAAATTTTTTTATAGAATTTTTGATCTGTTATAGTTGCCGTAGGTCCCCGAATTCAACCAAGGATTCAATTAGCTAACCCAAAATATACAGATTCGAATTTTGGATTGACAGAAGTAAAAAATTTAAAAAAAAACTAAAATATATTTTATTCAGAAAATTCTAAATGCTCTAATGTTTTGACTCTGTACTGGGCTAATCTAAAATTTCCATAAATCAAAAACTGGAAAAAACTTTTAGTTTTATTGCACGCTGCAAATTTCGTTCAACATATATTTTAAAGTCATTCCACCAAAAAATTTAAAATTAACCTTGAAGCATCAAATTGCTCGGCAGCTTCCTTCCAGTTTCTAAGTTCCAATTCAAGACTCCCTTGGATGAAAGAAATATAGGCCCGTGACTCCAATTTTGTGACCTCTTCAACCTATTGTGGAAAATGTTTTAAGAATATATCAGAAAAAATTTTAAAATACCAATTCATTGTCTTTAATTAATCCACTCAAAAATTGTGCCCATTTTGCTGCTTTACGAAATTTTTGTCGCATTCCAAATTTTTTACGCGATAAGGGATCATCGAGAGCTTCAAATTTGAATTCCATAGCATGAGCCCAACATCGTTCAATTTCGAAAACAATAAGTTCTAAATATCTAAAAATCAAGAAAAATAATAAGAGAAATATTTAAATTACAAAATTAAAAAAATCAAACCTTTTATCGCCAACAAGATCTGATGTAACAGTTCTTGCTATAAATTTTCCTGAACGCTTTGGCAGACATTTGTAGTGATGAGTGAATTTTAAGGACTTTCTGATTCGCTCCACTCTCCTTGCACAATAACCCCTAAAAATAAAAAATATTAAAAACCAAAAATTCAAATAACCTATAACGTTGATAGTTTTCATGACGAAGCCCATGCTTTTGTTGAGCAGTTCTAATAAGTTGAAGTATATTCAACGAATTAAGAATAGGTTTTGGCTCTCTTGGTTCTTTTGAACTCATAGAATTATTTATTGTCCCAAGCTTAATTACTTAAAAATAGTTGAATAAATTGATTTCAGACAAAAAAATGAACCTTTTAAATTTTATTAAAATTTGATGCAAAAATATAGATAGCCAAAAGACTACAATTTCAAAAGTGGAATACTCATGTCATAATTTACCAAAGCAAAAAAAGATATCGGAATCTGTCCATTCGATCACAAAATTTAAAACTCTTATAATAAATTTATTTACAAAAATATTTTAATGAAAATTTCAAAAACAAAAAATCAAATTGCAAGTTCTGGGTCATAGAAAAAATGAGAAAAACAAAAATTAAGAAAATTGTGATTGGCTTGGTAACAACTCTTTACATATTTTCCTTCTAAAATAGCTAATGTGTTCTTGAGTAAAGTCCATATATCTTCCAGCAACTTCATAATACGCATATAGAAGGGAAAAAATACCGCAATCTATTCCGTTTCGTTGTTGCGGTACATCTAGCAATTCTGTTAATGTCCAGTCTTCTCTTTTGCCTATATCCATTGAAAACTGATCAGCAGCCTCCATAAGAATGGTCCTAACAAAATATAAAAAAGAGAACTTAACATTATAAAATCAAAATCTTACAAAAGTGTGTTCATAAAATCCTTTTTCGTGCTTCCAGCAATTCCATTATTCATAGAGTCCATTACTATGATTTCCTTCTTTTGCATTTTTACGAAAGACATAGCCCAGTGGCATTCGTTGATATGCACGGGAGCCAAGACAAGTTCAACATTTTCCATCTTCCAGTACCACTTCGAGCTGATTTGTTTTTTTCTTTTGTAGCGAGCAAAAGCATATGTAGGTATATATTGAATTCTATTATCTGGAGCAAAATCATCAGTATTTTCTTTGTTATCTGGAGCATAATCATCAGTATTTTCTTTGTTATCTGGAAATTGATTTAAATTTCGTCGGCAATATTATCGTCCCTTCCCAAATAGCAATTTTTCACGGGTTATTTTTTAATGTCAAATAAAAAACACAATACTGCTAATTAAAATACAAAGGAGCCTCCGACGAATTGCAAAAATATTTGCTATTAGTAATAGGATGAAAGGATTATAAGCTAATGAGAGTACTACAAACTTAAACTTACGTTCATAGATTAGAAAACATAACAAGTACCTATATCAGAGGGGACAAGATTAGTACCATTTCGTCTACATATATGTTGGAGATATGCATCAATTACATCACCGTTGACCCATTCGCCATCACGCAGACAGAGTAACGCTTCAAATGTTAAATGTCCTTCTTTTCCCTGAAAAAAAAATTCGAAAAGTATTTAAAAGGATAATTATTTATCTTTGGCACACATCAAATTTCCTTTAATTAGAAACGGATTAGATTTTATGTGCGTTCAAAACCGACTAGTCCCGTTATATTCTAAAAGCAAAATAACAAAAAGATTTAAAACATCTCATCCATGTACAATAAAAATAACTCAAGGGTAGGACCTATTAAGTGTGGTGGTCCCACTAGCATTAAAATATCAAAGGTTGCAAAAAGGTAGCCTGATATGTAATATAAACCGGTGAATGGTGTCAAAGACAAATAAAATCTAATTGAGCACAAATTACAATATATGAACACAAACAAAACTTTCCCAGATCACTCAAAGTCATAATTCTTAACTTATAAAAAGTAAATTTTTAAACAAACCTTTACCCATTCTCTACAAACTCCTGTCCGCACGTCCTTGTTTTTACTTAATCTATCCCAAAAATCATCGCGCATGTATTCTTCAGGAAGAGAGGTTTCATTAGGCGGCGAAATTAATCTCAGAGGTTCAGGTGTTATGACACGTTTCAAAGGTTGAGGTGAAAAAGGATTTTCTTCACATGAATCGTTGACAACCTCATCATCATTCTTAAGTCAAAATAAAATTTTCAAAATAACGAAATCGTAAAAATTCCTAATTTTTAATACCCAACAAAATTTTTTAAATAAACACTTACCCATTTTCCCCAAAATTCTGTCCGCACTTCTTTATGTTCACTCGATCTTGTCCGAACATCCTCGCGCATGTATTCTTCAGGAACTGACTCAAAATCTTGCAGCATACTTGTTTTTTGAGGTTCAGGAGTCATAACTCGTTTTGAGTCCTCAACTTTTTGAAATTCAGGTGGCATCACACGCTTGGGCCTCCGAGGGAGAGAGTCATAACCAAGCGGCACAATTCTTTTCGGAGGTTTAGGTGTCAAGCAACCTTTCGATTCTTCAACACTTTGATCAATTGGCACAGCGCATTTGGTGCTTGAAATCGATGTATTATACAACTTCTTTTTCACTAAAAACACAATTTTAAGAGGTAACTAAATTATCAAACAAACCTCCAACAGTTTTTATTATGTGATCATGTAGTAATTTTTTGTCATCCTCAGACATGTTTCTGAGAAAACATTGCTTGTACTTAAAATCACGAATGTCGAAGTCAAAAGTATAAATAGATCCACGAGGACAAGTTTCTTTAGTTAGCGGTACAATGCAGTTCATTGGTATAAATACCTTAAAAATGTTGTTTAATTATGATGCATATAAAAGAATGGGGATCTGGGGAAGTATAAGACAATTTTTGCCAAAGTCGAATATAGAAATGTTATATAGAATATAGAAGTGTTATGCCATTCGAAAGTCTTCGAGCACTGATCGTGAGTCGAACTAGGGGTGTAATCCGACAATCAGAGTTCGAGTTAAAACATTAAATTTAAAGACATTTGAAGATTGAGAGAAGAGGGAGTAAGCTGATTTTGGGCGCCTCGCCGCAGCCTCATAGGTTATATGAGGCGGCGGCCCTTATCTAATTTAAGTCAATCTGAAACTAGACGGTACTTGTGGGTTATCTCATACCAGTTTTTGCGGACAAATTTATGCGGACATTTTTGTATAGAATGGTCAATCTTTCTGTCTTCCTCGGTTTCATTCAATTTTCTCTGTGGCAATATTCAATGAGAAACAGCTCAACAATTTTTGCCTCTTTCAATAAAACACATCAACAAAGAAAAGATTAATTTTCCTTCCCAATCTTACCAAAATATAAATTAACATTTGAATCAATGCACAATTTTATTTGTATTTAGTTCAGTTATTTAAATGGCAATAAGTAACCGAGTCTGCGTTTTAGAACTAATGATCGGTCAAATTTTTATCAAAACGTTGAACTTCGTACCCCATCCCCCCTTTTGTTCCAAGAGATGCAAAAATGGTTAGTCTTAATGTGTGTTACATTCCTTTCTATGGCGATACCAAGCTTTTCGTTTTAGAATCAATGGTCCGGCATCGTGCTTGTGTACAGAACTCTATTGTGAATAAAATTAACCACCCAACATCGGCATGGGTTCTAAAATAAAGAGCTGGGTGGGTATGTTTTTAGACATTTTTGACCCCTGTAATTTAGAGATGTCCTCACTCTTTTATTTTCCTCATTCTCTGAATTATTAAAGTTACATTGGAAAGAAAAACTAATCTTTTCCTCGTTGTGTCACTCATTGAATATTGCCACAGAGAAAATTGAGTGAAACCGAGGAAGACAGAAAGACTGACCATTCTTTACAAAAATGTCCGCATAAATTTGTCCGCAAAAACTGGTATGAGATAACCCACAAGTACCAACTAGACTTAGTGTTAATGTTAGATTGACCCTCACATTGAATGAGCTAATTTTTATGTTGACCCATACAAGAAACTTTTGGACTGAGGGCGTAAATTGACCCCAGAAAAATAGGCATCTAATTTATTATTAAAAAGAATTCATTTTAAAAAATCAACTAACAGTTTTGAGTATATGTTTGAATGAAATGATAAGAGAATTCTTATCCGCATCAAATTCCAAATGACCAGCTTTTGGAGTTTGTCTTTGAAGACTAGAAGTTGGTATAGTGAATCCAATTACAGCAGAAATTTTAAAATTTGGCTCATTGTTAGCATCAACCATTTTTGGAAAAAATAGAAAACGAATAGGTGATCTGAAAAATATTAAATATAGTTTCGTTCAATTAAGTTGAAATGATTTGGACAGATAAAGAAGTAAAAAAACTTTATTTAATACTAATTAAATTTTTCTAAATATTCCACAAGAGACGTTATATATTATATAAATAAAATTGAATATGAACATAGTAATTTTATCAAGAATTATTTTCAAAAAAATATGGTAATGGTTTGGTTGTGCCGCTGAATGGATTAAATTAAAAGGTCATGACTTTTTTCAGTCTATTGTTTTTCGGTGATTTAGTGCCATTTGACTCAGCTAAAAAATCTCTTTCGAATGATAAAAAATGAAAAATAAAGAAATGAAAAAATTGAAAGATAAAAAAGTTGGGGCCTCATTCAAACTAGTACCAAAAATATTTAAAGAAGAGAACTGACACAAAAAATAAAATATTGACTATTTATATATCGAAAAAATTTAGAAGACAACAAAATATGAGACTGAAAAATTCGATTCTGAATTATCCCCTACTCAATTGGGTAGGGGACGATTCAGTATCGCCGATTCAGTATTTGGGCTTTTTGGCCATAGCTTTTTGCTAGATCAATATTGTTGGTATTATTATATATAATTTGATAGGCCTCGGGGTGCTGCATCTTTTTCATAATTGGACTGACCTGATCTTATCACTCTTCAAAAAGTTATCACTGATAAACGACGTCACAGGCATAAAAAATCGGTTTTCACGCTGTAACTTTTTTTGTAATCATCAGGTCTGATCGGGCCAATTATGAAAAAGATGTCGAATCTCGAGACCTTTCGAATGATATGAGAATTATTCAAATCGGTTGAATATCAGGAAGGTTATGGCCATATACTGAATCGGCGGATACTGAATCGGCGATACTGAATCGTCCTTAACCGTACTCAATTAGCTATAATTTCGGACAGGACAGTTGAGCGCCCCACCAGTCGTGAACGCCAGTTGGGAGCCGATTGAGCGCCGCCGGTCAAAAAGCGAATGGCGAAAAACGAAAGTTCAAAAAAGACGAGAATCGGAAATAGGCTTAAGACGAAAGGCCATTTTTAGCCTTTCCGCTAGATAAATAAATTAATTCTGACACTCAGAATTTAAAATTAATTTAGAGCAAATATTTACATACATATACATAGATCAATAATTTAAATTCTTTGAAAAAAATTATTTTTTGTCAAAATTTTAACCAATTTTTAATAAAATTTAGCAAATTTTGCCGAAATATGGACCGTAATTTCCCAAAATATGCACCGATACGCAAATATGCACGAGGAAATATGCAAATAATGCGTTAAGAACCGGGTCCTAAAGTTCTCGGAACAACATAAAAACACCATTTTTTAGCTTCTCTCTTCATGGCATATCCGCATACAAAACATGCCCAACCTTATTAATATGTATTTACATTTTACTTCAATATCATTAGACAAATAATCAAAACAATTGAAAAATCTTTCAATCAGATAAAATTATTCGAATTATTTTATCTTTCATTGTTTATGAAATCGCCTTTTGTATTGTTGTGAAGAAGAAAGTGTTTGTGTTCTTAATTGTTGACCATCTCCACCTTTTCTTTCAGCAGCAATATTTTCTCCTTTCTTTGCTGATTCCTTTTTCATAGCATTAAATAGGGGAGAATTTCGGTTCGGGCAAGGGCAATATTCAGCTATTTTTTAAAAAAATATTTAAAAACTAACAAATATCATTTATATTACCATCTGCACCAGGTTCTCCTTCATCTCCTCCTTGACCTGGTTCGCCCTTTAAATATAAAATTATTTTTTTAATATGTAATTGAAATTACATCCTCTCCATTTTTCCCATTAATGCCATGTTCGCCTTTATCACCTTCAGGTCCTTGTGGACCAAGCATTCCCTCAGGACCTGGTGGTCCAATATCACCTTGGTCACCAATAGGACCTGGAGGTCCTTTCAATCCAGGTCTGCCATGAAAGATTTTTGTATCCTCACCAGTAATTCCTTAAGAATACATTTAATTGAAAATAATAGAGACGTCCAAGACTCTTGGTCTTGAGTCTTGATTCCAAGACTTTTCTTGGATTTTTTTCGGTCTTGCTCTTGGGGTACAGTCATGGTCTTAGTCTCTACTTTTTTGAGCTTTTTTAAACTTACACCCCTAGGAATTGAACCAAAAAAGAAATTGAAACCAAAAATTTGGCCTCTGGGACAAAAAAATTGTCTGAGTCTTGTTAATTTTTGGTCATAAGTCCTAGGGTTAAGTCTTAGTCTTGGGTCATGGTTTGGTCTTGGTCTCGAGTCTCAGAAAATTTTTGGTCTTGGATGTCTCTGAAAATAATATTAAAATATTATTAACCAGTCTCGCCAATTGCTCCAATCGGACCAGGCTTTCCAGTTGGACCAAGCTGAAATAATTATTTTTATTATTTACATTTTTTCAAATTTATACCCCGCCAGGGAATCCAGGTTGTCCATCCCTTCCTGGCACTCCAGGTTGTCCTTTTCCACCTCTCATTCCTCTTGGTCCTTTAATTTATTTTTATTTAATACCCGACTTTTGAGGATTTTGAACATAATTTTTCTCACATGAATTTAAAAAGTACACATATTCGAACATACACTGCGACGCAAAATTATACGTCCACCCCATTTTTTTCGAAATTTTTTCATTTGTATTGATCCGAATTTTCTGAAAATTTGCATATACACACTTTATTCAATGACAAACAAGATGTGAATGGATTTTTGGCAGAATTTATATTTTAAAAATTCTTATACCGAAATTTTTGTTTTCGGCCTACGCAAAATTATACGTCCACTTTTCAAAAAAGTTATTTCCAACAATAGGAAAAATCTACAAAAATTCCAGTAAACTTATATATTGATATTATAAAAAATGAAAAAGAAAGCAGGTCAATATCGTTACCCTATGCCGAGATACTGACACCTCGAAAATCAACGTAAAACGGGGGTAAGACTCTTCTAAAAAATTTTTCGACCCCTTATGGATTTCTATAAATTTTTATTTTGGGCTCATTCGAAAGCCCTTGAAATTTGCTACAAGACAGTAATAAACATATTTTCCAGAAAAAATACTCGACTATCTACTTGCAAACCTCAAAAATATCGAAAAACTTTTCCTCATTTTTTGCTAGGTAAACTCGACCTTTACTGCTTGTCCCTATCCTTAAAATTTGGATCCTCAAAAATCGTGCCATATTATATACATAATAATATGGATAAAATTACCAGGTCGTCCAGGAAGGCCGGGAGGACCAGCAGGTCCTTGTGGGCAATGGAAGCATTTATCTAATTGTTGAACATGAGCCTGAACATCATCTGCAGATGCTCCAGATAATCCTGGCTAAAAATAATTTTTTTAAAATTTTTCTATCTAATTTCCACAATTTCTTTTAATATATTACTACTAGAGGTTATGTAATAATCTGCGATATTTTTGTAGGTAAGTTACAGGGCTGGATAATTTTGCATTTAAAAAAGTGGAAAGCGGAAAAAATATAAAAGCGGAGGACAAAAAAAGGCATAATTTTGCAGAAGTGAAAGTAAATCCAACCCTTGTAGTAAGACTTATTTCATATTTCCTTTGAGTATAATTCCCTGTAAAGTTTCCCTTTTTCCTTTCTTCACAAAAAATTAGTACTTTTGTTGTTTATTAGTGACTGACTATCTTTTTACCTAAAATCTCATTTAAATCATTAATCACCTCTCCAGGTAATCCATCCAATCCTTTCGCTCCAGGCGGACCTTTGGGACCTTTAGGTCCAGCAGGGCATTTTCTTTCGGAGCATTTACATTTATTTGCAGGTGATTGTTGGGGTTGTTTTTGTTGTTTAATTATTTTTTGTTTAGATCCTTCACTTTCCTTTATTTTATCATTATTATTTTCTTTTTCATTTCCTTCAACTTTATTTTTATTATTTTCAGTTAAATCAGAAGAATTACTATCAGCCTCATCATAAGCTGCTCTTTTTTCTCTTCTTTTTTGTTTTACTAAAATACTCCAAATTTCATCAGATTGTTCTTTAAAATTTTGCATTTCTTCATTTAATTCTTTTCTTATTTCATTCATTTCACTATAAAGCCAAGTTCCAGAATATAAACAAGCAATACTTGTTAAAAACCCTAAAAGGGCACAAATTGCTGTAGCTAATTTAATTCCCATTTTTAAAAAGAAAAATTAAAAGAATTTATTTTGGAAGAAGATTTTTAAGAAAAATAAACTTTTTTTTTGAAATCCCTCTTTATTTATAAAGCAAAATTATTTAGGAGAAAAACAAGTTTTTTTTGTAATTTTATTTAAATTTTTATCTCTTTTCAAAATTGTTGCGCGGAAATTGTTGCAAATATTTTAATAGAGAAAAGAAAGAAAATTTAAAAAAAATTTTCGAGAGAAAGGTCATTTATCTAAAAATAAAGAGAACTAGTTTTTAAATAGAAAAATTTTTGAATTAAATTGTTAAAAGAAAAAAAATAAAATTTGTTTTGATTTAGTTAAAATATTTTGAAAAAATTTAAATAAAATATAAATAAAAATTTGTTATTTTTTAAAGAACAAAAAAACTAAAACGAAGATAATTGGAGATTAACGAATTTTAAATAAAATTTTTGAAAAAGATTTAGTAAATAATATATACTTTTTATTACGGGATTAATACAGAGTGACTCTCGTTTGGGAGGCATTTGCCACCTTTTTGATCTTTTCTGAAAAAGGAAGAAATCTGTCTTCTGGTCTTCCAACATTTTAACCTGTGGCGCTGTGGATAGTGATTAAAGATGGATCCTGTATTTGCCATCACCTGTGCTGAAAAAAGGGATTTACTTGTTATTGCGTTCTCCGGAAAAATCAGGAATAAATCTTTAGTTTAATTCATTTCAGCCATATTATCTCTTTATTTTTGATCCTAATTTGTCTAATTGAGGTAAAACTAGGTAAAAAATATGGAAAATTTAAGCTTTTTATGCGAAATTTTGATTATTTTTATGTTTTTTAAATAATGCCTCCTTTTTGTCCTCTTTTTGAGAGGTTATGCCCCTTTTTGGTGATTTGGAAAGGGCCATCCTAGATTAATATAAAAATTTCAGATTTATCTGACTACCATAACGGAGAAAACTAAAAGGAATCATTAATACATAAATTTTAATTTAAATTAATTTTTCAATTTCCTTTTTTTCTTTTTACTCATGATTCATTTTTTCTGATTAAATTGATTTATTTAAAAGAATGTTTGTGTGATATTTCCTTATTTAGTAGGCTATTTTAGAGGAACAAATTTTTTATTTAAACTCTCTTTTTTGTCATCAAATTTTTCTTTTTCTTTCAATTAAAAATTTAAAACTTTTTATTTTTGTCCCAATTTTTTTAAATTTTTATTTATTAAATTTAAAAAACTTTCTTTTTTTATTTAAAAATAAGTAAATATTTTTTGTTTTTATTTTTCTTTCTTTAAATTAAAAAATAATTTTTATTTTTCAATTAACAGTTTTTAAATATTTTTTTGAAAAAAGTTTAAAGAATATATTTATTTCTTAACAAACAAAATTTAAAAAAAGAAATTTAAGCAATCAATATATAAATAAATTCCACGTCTTTTGTCATTTCAACAAAAAAAATTTTTTTCAAAGTTAACAAAATTTTAAGGAAAAAAAAGAAAGAGAGACAAAAAAGTGAGAGAATGAGTTCAGCAAACCTCTCTTCCCCACCCCCTCCTTCTTTACAAGTTAACCTAAAAAATTTTTCTATAAACCCAATTAATAATAAAAAAGAAAAAAATAAAAATAATTTTTGGAAAATGATTCCAAATAAAAACAAAAATAAAACTTCATCTTCTACTTCACCTATTTACACAATAAGTCCAGCTGGACAGTCTATTGGAACTTTTGATTTACAACTTAAAAAACCAGGTTATTTTTTATCAATTCTTTTTAATGAAAAAGGAGGGAATAACTTGATTGTATTCTCTTTGATAGAATAACTCCTTTATTTTAATTATTTTTAATTTAAATTAAAGGGGCATTAAAAAATAAAAAAAATTTAAATTAACTTTAAATTCTAGTTAATATTTTAAACAAATTTATTTAAATTTAACAATAATTAAATAAATTATTACTGATCTACATTAACTTGATCTGTAATAACTCGTTCTTTTTTAGTTTATTCTTTAAGCCATAGAACGTAATTGCTTCCTATTTTATAAATATTTAAGTCCTTCCAAAAATCTTTAAATTTATTCAGAACCAACAATTTTTGTCTATTCTCAACGCCGATCCAGAGCAAAACGTATTTGGATTCGACGTGGACTTTTTGCCGGTGCCTCAATATTTTTATTTTGTTTAATATTAATTTCTATCATTTGGGTAATTCAACAACAAAATAATAATAAAGAAATAATACCTTTAAAAACATCAACAGAATCAACAACTAATTAGAAGAAAATAATTATTTTTTTTTAAATTAAATTATCTACTTAAAATATATGTACACAATAACGTTTAAATAATTATAAAATAAAAGTTATTGTGTACAATGAATTTGAAGAAATTTTACTTAAATTTTTTTGCTGTGATTATTTTAATTAAATAAAATATATTTCTTTAAAAAAATATTTTTAAAAATAACAACAAACATTAATTTGTATTAATTTTAGGTAAAATAGTTTCGGATATTTTCTGTTTGAAAATTAAAAATATTTTTGTTTAAAATTTTTTTTCTTAAAATTTTTATTTTTTCTTCGGCTATAAATAAATAAATAATTTTATTATTTTAAAGTAAAAAGAAATAAATTTTTATATGTATTGTCAAAAAGCTTATCAGAAAATTCTTTTTAGTTTATTTAGGTATATTATCTAAAAATATTTAAATATAGTTCAGTCACATTTTTAGACACACAAATTAATTAATTAATTAATTAATTAATTAATTAATTAATTAATTAATTAATTAATTAATTAAAAATTATTTAACGAAGAAATATATTTTTTAAATTAATTATTTCCTTATTTAATTCCCCCCCCCCCTTTACCCAATTAATTACCTAAATTAATTTAAAAAATAAAGTTCACAATCTTAATCAATTACCAAATAATTTATTAAATCAAAATACTTTTTACTATTAGGTAACCAAAATTAATTTTCTTTAAACGATATCATTATTTTTTTGAAAATATTAATGTTGTTATTATTTAAAAGAAAAAATATTTTTTTCTTATCTTTTTTTCTAAATATTATTTTTGTTAATTAAGTTTTTCTCTTTTAAATTATGACGGGGAAATTATGTTTGGTAATTAGAACAAGGAAGACTTTATCAAAAAATATACCTAAATTTATTTGTTTTCCTTTAGTGGCCATATTTTAGATTAAATTATTTTGTAAAAAAATCTTTCAAGATTTCCAACCAAGACTGTTTAGATATTTTTTCACAACTCCTTAAAAATTCTGAAATTTGGGGATTTATCAGAAAATACATGAATGAATAATAATTAATTAAAAAATTATTAAATTTATATTAACAAACGGCCACTAAAAATAACTGTTCACCTAAATAGATCTCATCTTTTTCTTCAAATTTTAGTTAATTTTACAAAAAAATGTCTATTCCACCACCACCTCCACAAAATACTACTTCAAACACCAATTTAAATTCAATTACTGTCAATCCACCAATTGAATTATTAGTCGATGAATTATATAAATGTGCCCATCCACCCCCTTCTTACAGTAAAGCTACAAGAAATAACAACAATTTATCTACAATTAGAAGAGCATTATCTGAAAATCAACCAAGAGAATTAACGTTTATTTCTCCATTTGGAGGTTCTTTATGTAGAATATTTCCTTCTTTATCAACAACAAATAATCCTCCAACAGAAGAATCACCTCCAATTTATACCAGAAATGTTTCAGAAATTGATACAAGGGAATTTAATTCAAATAATATAAATTATTGTTGTTGTAGAAGTAAATATAAATTAATTTTAATTAAAAATAATCATTTTTTTAATTTTTTAGCATTTCAATTTTTACATTTCCAATCACCAAACAAAAAACGTTTCTTTTCTGGTTTTATCTGCTTTCTATTTATTTTAATAATAATTTCTTTATTTGTAATACTTGATAGATTGCTTTTGGACTAGAAAAAAGATGAAAATAATTTTAATTTTAAATTTGTGCATTAAATTGGAATTTAATTTTTTTTTCAATATTTAATAAAATATTTTTTAAATTTATTTTAAATAATTTATTTAAAAAAAAGATCATCAAAAAACGATACAAAAAATTAATATTTATAGTAACAAATAGATTGTGTCATTTAAAGATTCTAAAAAAAATAAATTTTTTTTGTTTTTGATTAAAACTTCATATTTCCCTTTATTTTTAGGGAAATTATAGAGGAGAAATTTTAATATTAATTCACAAAAATACTTTGTAGGAAAATTAACTAAAAATTTAAAATGACACAAAATCTAATTATAAAAATTAAAAAAAACTTTAATTTTCAATGCCATTATAAACCCCCAAACTTTTATTTTAATCAGTCATCATCTTCCTCTTCTTCATCTTCAGAAACTTCACTTAAAGTGCCTTGGTCGTCACTAAATTATTTTTAAAAAATATTTTTTCCTAAAATTATAAAAAAAAACCTTTCAGTTCCGGGGTCAACAAATCCAAAGGGTTCAACAAAATCAACAAATGAAGAAAATTCTGATCCAAAACAATTTACACCAATTTTAAGAGATTTTAGGCCTGTAAGGGTGTGGAGAGTTTTAACAATATTTTTGGCAGCATCTGTAGTTATTTCTCCCCCAGATAAATTTAATTCTTTTAATGGACAGTTAGAGGCAGCTAAACTGTTGGCAATAGCCATTGACCCTTTATCTCTACAAAGGCAGTCACTAAAGTCCAAAACTTCAAGCTGTGTCAAATCTTTCAAAACCCCAGCCATTCCAATTGCTCCAGAATTTCCAAAAGTATTGTCACCCAAATTAAGTTTTTTTAATGATCGATTCTCTTTTATAGCTTCTGCTAATTTAATTATTCCTTCAGCTCTAATTCCATTTTGGGGCACTGAAATTTCCTCTAAAGTTCCAATTACCTAAATTTTATTAAAAATATTTATAAATTTAAATATAAAAATACTTTAAATGCCTCTGCTAAAGCTGTTGTAGATTCATATTCTAATCGATTACGGCCAGCAATAAATACTTTTAATTGAAGAGGAGTTTCGTTACGAACTGATTGTTTGTGACATTCTATGAGGCTTTGTGCAATCGTCTAAAATTTAAAAGAAAAAAATTTTTAAAGGTAACTTTTCAAAACATGAGCAAAGTGTTGGCTAATTTTGATAACTTATAAATATTTTAAATTCCATATTATATATTTCCTGTGTTAACTTAAAAAAATTTGTGTGCAAAATTTCGGCATATTATGAAAATACTAATTGACAAAAATAAAAAAACAATTTATAAACCTTTCCAGCAATTCCAAGCCCGCAATTATTTAATTTAAGAATTTCGAGTTCAAAAGAAGATTCGCCAGCGAGGAATTCTTTAATTCCCGGCACAGCCATTGGTCCAATTGCATTATCGCTTAAATCCAATTCTTTAAGCCTGGCTCCACTTAAACCAACCGAATCACAAAGACATTTCTAAAATTTTAAATAAATTATTAATTCGGAAAACTAATTAACCAAAGTTTTGGGTATTTCCTCCTTTAACCTTCCAGTAAACATATCACTCCACAAAGCTCTCTAAAATAAAGAAATATATTTATAAAAAAATATAAACTTTTAAAGTAGGATGCGTCTCGAGTGCTTCAGCAATTGGAAGTGTTGCATTAAATCCAAGAGTATTTCCCCGCATTTCAAAAGTAACTAATCTGGGGAAATCTCGAATTTTTTCAGCTATCTTTTCCCCTTTAAAAATATTAAAAATTAAATTAAAAAATTACTAACCATCCTCTTCTGTGTTTAATTTTAATTGTTGTCCTTGGAATGAAAGCATTCCGTCATTGTCATTATCCCTTTTATCATCGGTATCATCTTTGCTCATAATTTTTAGCAAAATTAATAAATACTAAAAAAACAAAAATTAAAAAGGCTAATAAAAACAATTAAAATTATTTAGAAATTGAGGTAAAAAATTCCCACACTTAATTATGGCGTAGAAAAGGCTGTCCAAGAATTTGGTTGCGCGCGCTTTTAAATTACAAAAATTATTGACTTTCGTAAATCTTTTTTGTTGGATATTTTTGTACAAATTTTATCCTAATTTTTTCTTCTCTATTAATAATTTTTATTTAGATGTCCGATTCACTTGAAAATGATATTTCTGAAGATTCTCCAAAAGGTTCAAGACGTCTTAGAAGGTCAACGGCTTCTGAAGCAAATACTCGTCAGAGTACATTAGAACGTTTAAAACAAGCAAGAATGACTGGGAAAGCTTTTCGTGCTCGGGTTATTTTTTCTAAAAAATAATTTTTTAAATTAATTTTTAGGTTGACGATTTAATACAAGATGTTTATGTTGAAGTTGATGATGAAGAATATCAGGCAAAGAAACAATTTTATAGAGAATTTGTTGAAGATGATGGTAAATATTTTCTTTAAAATTATTTAATTTCTAAAATAAATTTTTAAATTCCCTCAAATGCAATTAAAAAAATTTTTTTGTTTTGTTTTTAGTTGGTGCTTCATATTATGACGAGGATTCTGAAGACGATGAGGAAAATGAAAAACAAATTAAAAAGAAAAAAGAAGGAAAAAAAGGTTTTAAAAATAATTTTATTTAAAAATATTTTTTAGTCAAACCGGGGACAATTAAACATCATTTTCAATCAATTTCAAATAACAAAAAACCATCAGACGAGGTTATTTTATCAATAATAAAATTTATTTTGTTTCTTTTAGAAAAATATTCGTGTTGAAGATGACGATATTTTAAATGAATGTTTGGCAGATATTATTGGAACAAATAATTTATCTACAGAAAAAACAGTTTCAGGTTGTTAATTTCTTTTTGATTTTTTAAATTATTTTTTTTTCAAGTTTTTGAAGATCCATTTTTAAATACTTCCTTACATAAACAACAAAAATCTCCTCAACAAGTTTCTCAAAATGAATCAGATATTCAGAGTATAAATCCTTTTAAAATAGATGCTTTGTCTAAATCGACGCAGAACATTAAATTAAAAGTCTTTCAAATTTTTATTTTATGGAAAAAATTTAATATTTTTAGGATGCCCAACCTTGTACTCCTTCCACTTCGATTACCTCCCTTCAATTAGACCAACCAGATATTGAGGATATTGATTTGACTGAAAATGAAATTATTGATGTTGAAAATAGGAAAAACAACTTTGAAGATAATATCGAAACTATACAAACAGAAAAACAAATATTTCCAAAATCTCCTTCAATCGAGACAAGAACAACAACTCAAAGAAAAAGAGATGCTTCGCCTATTTCAATTCCAGAAAGGCCAATGAAATTATTACGTGTTGATTCTGATTCACTCAAATTTTATTTTCTCGATGCTTTTGAAAATATTTACACAAAACCTGGTAAAAATTTAAATTTTTTGAAATAAACAAAAATATATTTTAATTTTTTTAAGGGACAGTTTATTTATTTGGATATTTAAATTCAACAGATGTTAAACCCCAAAGTTGCTGCATTACTTTAAGAAATATTACAAAACAATTATTTTTCCTAAAACGGGAAATTGTAAGAAACTTTTAAAAAAATTAATTTCTCCCTAAAAATATTTCAAGTCTTTATCTTCTAAAAACCCTGTAACAAAAGATGATCTCTTTTCTGATATACAAAAAACATTCAAAACTCTTGGCATTAATGAATTTGAAATAAAGCCGGAGGTTGTCTAATTTTTGTAATTTTATTAAAGTTTTTAAGTTTGTAACCAAGTGTTTTATTTCGTCTGATGCTTCTGTGCCTAAAGAATGTCAAACAGTTGAAGTTTGGGCTAAGGTACCTTTAAGCTTTATTTTATAAAAATTTTTGAAAATTTTAAGTGCAATTTTGGGCGTATCCCTACAAATCTTTCTGGTGACTGTTTCAGCCATGTGATGAACACAACAACTACTGCTTTAGAACGTGTTCTCATTGAGCGTGAAATTTATGGTCCGTGTTGGCTTGAAATTCGAAATGCTAGTTTGTTTCTAAAATTTAATTTTAAAGTTTTTCTTTGAAAAGGAAAAAAAGAAGATGGGGATCCTCACGTTTCCTATTGCCAACATGAATATTCTCTAAATATGGATCAAATGGATTATATTTCTATGTCCTCTACTTTACCCACTCCATTACCTCCACCTTCAATTACTTTAGTTGTTTTAAATATTTTAACTGCTTTAAATCCAAAAACAAAGGACACTCAGGTTTTTAAAGGAAAAATCCTTTTTAAATTTTAATTTTTAGATTGTTATGATTTCTTTAATTCATCACTCCTGTAATTTAGAAATGTCTACAAATTTTGATCCAAAATCTTTAATAACTAAACGATTTTGTGGTAAATAAATCGTTTAATCTAAATTAAATATTTTTAAAAGTTGTTTCAAAATTCAACAAAGGATTACCACTTCCATTTGATTTGGAGGACCAATTAAAAAATAATGGAATTTCAACAATGGTTCGTAAAGTTGGCGATGAATTGTCGTTGTTAAACATTTTCTTATCAAAAATTGCAGAACTTGATCCAGATATGATTTTGGTATTTTTTTAAATTAAAAATTTATTATGGTAGTAGAAATTGAGAAGACCCATACGAAACTCAATTTTTCACCTATATTCCTGGATTTCTCTAAATTTTATCATTCCTCCAAACATGTGGTCAGATATAGAAATTTAACAACTCTTAAGTTTCATTGGTTAGATAACTAATTAGTATTTTCTTTATTAAAGTTTAAAGGATTTCCAATTACCGGTAAAAATTTTATTTTTTAGGCACACGATTTAAACGCTCAATTAACATTACTTCAGACGAGAATTGAAAAGTATAATAAACTTAAAAAATGGGATAGGCTTGGTCGAATAAAGAATAAGGACCAAATTCAAAAAATTGGTCGATCGAAATTTGCTCAATGGGAATTAACTGCTGGAAGGCTTTGTTTAGATTCAAAGTTTATTTTTAAAAAATATTTTATTTTTTCAATTCATTTTAGGATAGCTGCTTCTGAACTGATACATTGCCGAAGCTATGAAATGGAAGATTTAGTTGAAACTTTATTGAAAATGAACAGACAAAATCTTAGCACGGAACAAATATCAGAGCCTTTTTTGTAATTTTTTCTAAATAAATTTAAATATTTTTTAAAAAATTACTTTTTAGAATAACAAATCCAAAAATTAAATTAATTGATTTAATTAAATGGAATTGGAATGAGAATTTATATACACTTAAACTTGTTGAACATCTTAATTCTATTCCCTTGTTTGTACAAATTACACAAATTGTTGGGGGAGTTTTGGTATTTTTCTTTTAATTTTTGTTAAATTTGTAATAATTTTAAAGTCACGTACATTAATGGGCGGTCGTGCAGAACGAAATGAATATTTACTACTCCACGCGTGCCATCGAAACAATTGCATTCCACCTGATAAATTCAATGGTAATTTGTATTTTTTTTAATTCTTCAAACTATTTAGCAATAAAATCTGTCAAATCAAATGTGCCAAAGAAGAAGATACAAGACAAAAAATTGCCTTCAAAAACTGGAGAAAATAATCAAGAAATAAATGATGGAGATATTGAAGTAGTTGTGGATACTGAACCTATTCAGGAAGAAGAAAATGAAATAACTGTTCCCAAACAAGAAGAGAAAATAACCAAAAATAACAAAAAAACACAATATACCGGTGGTTTGGTTTTGGAACCAAAAATAGGTAAATTATATTTAAATTTATTTTTTAATAATAACTTGTTTAGGACTTTATGAGACATTTATTGTACTTTTGGATTTTAACAGTTTATATCCAAGTATTATTCAAGAATTTAATATTTGTTTTACTACTGTTGACCAGGCTTTTGATGATTTGGTTATTTTAGAATTTTATAAAAAAATATTTTTCAAATAATTTTAGGCAGAAGTTGATTTACCTAATGCACCCGGCTCAAGTCGTCCAGATGGAATTTTAAAAAATGAAATTCGAAAACTTGTGAATAGGCGAAAAGAAGTTAAGAAATTAATGAGTAAAGAGAAACACGATTCTGAAAAATATCAACAAGTTTGTTTTGTTTAATTAAAAATATTTTGTTAAATTTTATTAGTATAATATAAGGCAACTCGGTCTTAAATTAACAGCTAACAGTATGTATGGATGTTTAGGCTTCAAACAATCACGCTTTTTTGCTAAAACTCTCGCAGCAATGATTACCTCAAAGGGAAGAGAAGTAAAAAGGAAAATAAAAAATATTTTAATTAAAAAAAATTATATTTTTAAAGTTACTTTTGCATGCAAAAACTTTGGTTGAGAATGAAAACTATTCTGTAATTTATGGTGACACCGATTCTTTAATGGTTAATACAAATACTACAAACTTTTTGGAAGCTAAACAAATTGGACAAAAAGTTTTATTTAAATAAAATATTTTTTATAAAATTCTTTTTAGCTTAAACAAGTTGTTAATAAAAATTATTCTCTTCTTGAATTAGATATTGATGGAATTTATAAAAGACTTCTTTTGTTGAAGAAAAAGAAATATGCTGCACTTTCTGTTGATTTTAATGATGAAAATTTAACTACAGCCGAATTGAAAGGATTGGATATTGTGAGGAGAGATTGGTCCGAACTGGCTAAAGATATTGGATTGTAAGTAGTTTTTATTTATTTGTTTGAATGATTTTTTGATTAAATGGGGTTGGAATTGGATATGTATTTGAGTTTTAATTTTCTTCAAATATTTTTAGAGAGATTGTCAATTTAATTCTTTCCTCAATTGATCGAAAAACACTTATTGAACGAATAACTTCTGTTCTAGCTTTACGACGAGAAGATTTAGAGGATGGACGATTCCCACTAGAAAAATTTGAAATCTTAAAGCAATTAACACGTGACCCCGCTGATTACAAAGACATAAAATCACAACCACATGCAGTTATTGCACGCCGATTGAATGAATCTAAAAAGTTTAGACTACGGCAGGGTGATATTGTAAAATATATTATTTGTACGGTTAGAATTTCTTTTGATTATTAAAAGGATATATGTAACTAATTTAGGATGGGACAAATAACCCTCCAACTCAAAGAGGATATCACTCATCTGAAATTTTAGCTAATGAAGAATTGTCTGTTGGTGAGCATTCTCTTATTCTCAATTTAAATGCTAAATCTAACATTTTTTAGATAAGAATTACTACTTGGCTCAACAAATTCACCCAGTTGTCATGCGACTTTGTGAACCAATCGTTGAAATAGATGCCTATAAAATCGCAGAAATTTTGGGTAATTATTTATAAATTTTTTTTAAATATTATCAATTAATTGTAGGCCTTGATCCATCTGGATATCGAAAAAGAATTTTTGAGGTTAGTAATGGGGGATATAACGCCGACACATTTGGTATAAGTAAAGATGAGAAAATTGATCTTTCTGTTATTTTTGCACCTTTTCTTAAATAAAGTTTTAATAATATGATTTCGGTTTTATTTAGGAAACATGTCAAACAAAGTAACCCAGAATAAATAATTTTAGTTTCCTCCCAACGCTTAATAATAATATTAACAAAATTTCAATAAAAATAAAATAATTTATTAATTTGCAAAAGGCAAAGATCAATGTGTGAATAATATAATAATAGAGAGTGGTTTTATCTTTACCGGGCTTTGGTAAATAATTATTGTTAATCTAAAATCGCTCTCTGACATTAAAAATCTGTAACAATAAAATTAAACCTTTTAAATTTCAACATTTAAGTTTTTCCATTATCTTTTGAACTTTCTTCTTCATTCGCAGCTTTTTTTGCCTTTCTGTTTGCTTTACTTGCCTTTCTCTTTCTGGCTCTTTCTTGTTTCCTCTCATTAATTCTTGCCAATCCAGCTTTTTCAGCAGCTTTCATACAAGCTAATTTTCTTTTTAATTGATCTTTAAACTCCGAATGTAATTTCTCAATATTTAAATTCTTTTCTATTAATTCAATTGAATTGTTAAGTTGACAAAAATTATTCTTTAAAAAGATCGTTAAAATTTTAAATAATTTAAAAAACCTTTAAGTCATCCAATCCATATTTGTAAGCCAATTCAATTTTTTGTTGGAAATTAAAATGTTTACATTTTCTACTGTTTATTAAAGAATCCTCAATACTTCCTAAAATAGAGGGAATTTTATATTCTTTTGCAAAATCTAATAATTTATCAACTCTCAAACCTGAAAAAATTAAAAAATTATTTTCTTTTTAAATTTTATTTAAATTATTTACAATGAATTCGAGCATTGATATCGAAAATAGATTTTAAGGCCAAATGGACAATTGAAGGTTTAAATCTTTCTTCAATCTTTATTGGATTTTTGAGATCATCTCCTAATTTTTCATCAAAAATTTTTTGTCGAAACACTAAAGAGAACATTGCCAACTAAAATTATTTTAAAAATTTTACTAGATTTTATAAATCAAAAAGAACATTTCTGGAATTTAAATTAACTAAACGTAAAAATCAATCTTAATAATTATTCTCTTGTTATTTTTATGCCGATTTTTTAAAATAAAATTTATAAACCTTTATCTTGCTAACGTGGAAGTATTCTTTCCCACATCGAAGACATACTGATAATTTGTTTGGAAGTTCTTGATCAAATTTTAATGGTGGAACAAGGCTAGAAATTAAATAAAATATTACAAAAAATAACAAACCCAATTGTCTTTATTCTATTTACCCACATATGAACAATTAGTGTTTGACTTTTCTTAAAACGTCTACAGCTATAACAACGAATCGGTGCCGCAGGTAATAGTGAAGAAAAAACAGAAGGCCTCTTAATATGAAGTTTTAAAATTAAATATAAAAATATTTTAACTTTTTTCCCATAAACTTGTTGTGTATCCCGTTTTGAGCCTTTCCAAACAGTTTTGAATGATGAAACTAAACCCCAGCTATAAAAAGCATTTCCATGTAAATCAACTGAGCAAATAGGATTTGGTTGGCATTTTGCGAAAAGAAGCCAGGCTTTTTTCTTTTTCCATTGCATAAAACGACGAAAGCTCCCAGAAACATATTCTCCTCCTTTGCGGCTTCTTTTCAACTTCTTTAATTTTTTTACCCGACCACTAACCAAAAGCAACTTCTTAAGCTTTCTTTCCCGACGCTTGTAATTTTTAGCTTGCTTTGCTGCTTTCTTAGGATTTGGATGATTCTCATCAATTTTAAAGAAATTCGAAGAATTGTTTTCGTCATTAAAAAAGAAAGAAAATGTCCTAAAATTTTAAATAAAAAAGTAAAAAAAATAAACTAACCAATCAAAGAATCCACAACTCAATTCTTTTGTAACTATCCCAGTCATGCCAACAGGAATATTTAATTCAAATGTCACATAATCCATAAAATTATTTTTGTTCTTCTGAAGTAATCCTTTTGCCTTGAGAATTCTTGCTACTTTTGCAAATTTTGATTGTTTCTTTTTCTTTTTAGTTTTTTCTTCTTTTTCGTCAGTTTTTACTGGCTCAGCTACTTTCTTTTTCGACTTTTGCTTCCTTTTTAATAATGGGGCAACATTCTCAATTTCGTCAAGTAAATCAACATTCGCCCCATCCATCATATCATTATTATCCCAATCATCTTCAAAGTCTTCAGCAGGATCTTCATAAACAATATCATCATAATCATCAGAATCCATTTCAAAAATAAAGACAAAAAAATTTATCTAAAATTTCTTTGATTAAAAATCAAATAAAAAAAGAAGTTATCAGGATTTTCTGGGTCTTCCAAAGAATAAGAATTTTCAGGAGTTATTAATCAATAGCTTTATTCTTATAATAATGAAATTTTGTTACAAAATACTTTTAGAATCATATCACATTCAGAAATTCAATGATACTCAGCTTGTTCTTTGGCGGTACTCAATTGACTGAGGTCAACATTTTGCCAAATTTAACTTGCCAAACAAAAATATGAGCGCTAAAAATCGTTTTAAAAATTTTCGATAGGTAAGCCTACTTTCGATCGATTTCTATTAATTTTTTCTGTACTTATTTTTCCTGTTACATATGTCCATGATTTGAATATATTTTATTAATTTTGTTATTTTACTTTTATCTATTTTTGCCCCATTTCTTAAAATGTTTAAATAATTCCCCCTCATTTAATTGAGAGATTAGGGTCATTTTAAACTTAATATAAAATGTCTGATTTCGCAAACATAATATTTCCCTATATCGTTTAAATTTTTATTTTTTCTTTCAGTTACTTTTATTAAAATGGCGCAAACATTAAAATCTAAAAAGCTTCAACAAAAGCATGGAAACACTCATTTAATTGAAAAGATCAACAATAAATGTTATGACGGGATTGATTACACAAATTGTGGAATTGATTGGAAGTAAAATTAAAATAAATTTTGAATATTTATTTTTGTTTAGTCAACATCGTTGGCAACTTTCTGATTTTGAGATTGGTCGGCCACTTGGAAAAGGAAAATTTGGAAATGTTTACTTAGCACGGGATCGTTATTTTCGAATTCCTGTTGCACTTAAAGTTTCTTTTGATGCTTTTTTAAATAATTATATTTTTGTCAGATTCTCTTCAAGTCACAACTTGTTAAAGGAAATGTTGAGCATCAACTTATTCGAGAAATTGAAATTCATGCACATTTGAGGTTAAATTCGATAAATTTATTTAATTAATTTGACAGACATCCAAACATTCTTCGCATCCACAATTTCTTTCATGACGACAAGAAAGTTTATCTTATTTTGGAATATGCTGTTCACGGAGAACTTTTTAAAGAATTGAACAGATGCAAAAAATTTAGCGAATCTCGAACTGCTCGGGTTATTTATTTTGTCTTAAACTTTTTAGCCTTTTTCAAATTTTCAGTACATTTTCCAAGTAGCTGACGCTCTCAATTATTGCCATTCGAAGAAAATCATTCACAGAGATATCAAACCTGAAAATATTCTTCTCTGTGATGATGGGCAAATTCGGATTGCTGATTTTGGCTGGGCCGTTCATGCAATGAATAGACGGTGATTTTTTAAAAATAATTTTAACTTTGTTTAAAAACCATGGAAGAAAAAGTTTTTGTCTCAGAGGTCTTATTAATTGAACCTGTAGCCTTCTTTTTCCCCTTATTTAATAAAGCTTTGTTGGAAAAATAATTTCACTTTTCAGAAAGACAATGTGTGGCACTCTTGATTATTTGCCACCTGAAATGATTTTTAAGATGCATCACGATGAAAAGGTTTTGCTTAAATTTTATATATTTTGATTTAATTTTTAGGTTGATTATTGGTCTGTTGGTGTTCTTTGTTATGAATTTCTTACTGGAAAACCGCCTTTTGAAACAGAAGAACAAAAGCACACTTACAAACGAATAACTAACGTTGAATATGTTTTTCCGAGACATGTTAGCAAAGGAGCGATGGATCTCATCTCTCGGGTATTTTTTTAATTTTTAGAGAGACATCTTGAGATTTTGGAAATCTTTATCCAACAATTTTAATTCTAACAAAAAATTCTTTTTAGCTTCTTCGTAAAGATCCAAATCAACGAATGACATTTGAACAATTACTTAAACATCCTTGGATTCTTGAATATTGTGGTCGTGCAAGCGAAGATGTGCCTGATAACGAATTGGCTCCAATGTCAATATTTAATGATGATGAATTACGGGAAACAAAAGTTGAAGAAATTGATTGATTATTTTAAGGAATATAAATGGAATTTTTGGAAATATTTAAATAAACAATTTGATATTGATATACATAAATAAATACTTTTTTTTTATTTAACAATTTTTTGCACAATAAAATGATTTTTTGTTGTAGAAAAATATTTTTGATAAATAAAATATGTAATTTTTATTTAAATATTTTTATAAGTGGTTGAGGATTATGGCGAAAATCAATTTTAAAATAAATTATTTTCTTTGTCAAATTCCTAAAAGAAAGATAAATTCTTTTTGTGAGTTATATTGATTTAGTTTACCTAATTTTTTTTATTAAAGAAAAATTAAATTTTTAAACAAAATAAAAAATTTTATTATTCCTTTAATTCCATAATTTTTTAAAGTTTTTAAATTTCGAAATATTTCAACAAAAAAATATTTAAATGTCACAACAACAACAACAATGCATTACAGAACAACCTCAATTAACGGGATATTCCAAACAATTAGACAATGAACAAAATGAGAAAAGAAAAAAGAATAATGATTCTGGTCCTTTAAATTGTTTTTGTGGTGATTGTGGATGTGGTTAGATATTTTTTAAATTAAATTAAAAAAAAATATTTTTGTTTAAGAATAGAATTTTTATTTAAAATATTTCAAAAAAAAATTAATTTTTTATTTTTTAGCTGATTGTTGTGATAATAATTGTCTCCCAGCAGATTGTATGGAATGTTTGGGGCATATTTTTTGTTGTTGTTCATTAGCTTCTAATTCAAATTGTGATTGTGGAAATGTTGATTGTGGGGGAGGAGGGGATATTTGTTGTTGTCCATAATTAATTTAAAGTATTTTTTTCTCAATTTATATTTCTCTCATAATTTTTAAATAATTCAGGAAATTTATATTTTTTATTTTCTTGTAACCAATTTGTATTTTCCCATTCTTCATTTTCTTCCAAATCAATTAAATGGAAAGCATAAACATTTCTTTGATAATTACTTGTATTCTTTTCTGATTTGTGTAAAACATTTCCGTGAATTAAAATTAAAGAACCTTTTAAATTTAAATAATTATTGGGGGGGGGGGGTATTAATTTTAAATTAATTAGGAGGGGGCAGCTATTAAAATTAATTACCAACCACTTTCACATTCAATTGGTATATATTTTAAATTATTAATTTGAGGTTTTTCTCCTTTAAATTCCAAAAAAGGCCCTTCATTTTTGGCAATATTTTGTTGATTTCTAACAAATTTGTAATTTTTTGTTTGTTCAGCAAAATCTTTAAAAAATAATTTTTGAAAGGAAAATAATTTTCTGAAAAACCTTTATGTGATTTGGGAGCAAAATATAGGCATCCATTCTCTATTTTCGAATTATCTAAAGCAATCCAAATTCCAATTAAACTTTCAGGGTTTTTTGTATGTAAAAAAGTAGAATCTACATGTTCGTTTACATTCCCCCCAATTTTTGGTTGTTTAAATATATACATTGACTGGGCGATTTTTGGAGATTTTAATATTGATAAATAGTTTATTATTTTCTTAAAAAATATTTAAAAAATAAATATTTAGAGAAAAAACCTTAATTTTTTCATTAAAAGTAAAATGTCTAAATATTGGATTTATCCAATGAAGAGCTTTAATTTTAAATTAATTGTTTAATTAATTCAAAATCACCACCAACCATGTCCAACTTTATTTAAAGCTTTTTCTTTTTCAACAACCAATTTTCCAGTATTTTCATCGATTGCCCCTTCCTCGTAAAAGAAACTAATTTTATCAACACTTTCAAGGAAATAATTATCAGAAACATGCTTTTAAGAATTATTTTAATTTTAATTTAAATTTTTCAAAAAAAAACTTTTTGTTCATTGCTAGTAAATATAGCTTTTGGATGTTTTGAAGGGTCAAATTCTTCAATTATTTTTTTCATTTCATTTTTCATTTCTTCAACTTCTTGTTTACTAAAAACTCCCTCAATTTTAACAAATCCATTTTCTTTAAATAAAAAAGAAATTTTTGATAAATCTTCGGGAAATTGAATTTTTGGAATTTTAAATAATTCTTCTTCTAAAGACATTTAAATTAATCTTTAAAATTAAAATATATTTTTTATAAAACAATTAAAAAATAAACAAATTTATGTAGTCTGTTTTGTGTTATTTAATTATTTGATAAAAATATTTTTAATATTTTTTTTGTAAAAGAAACTTTGTAATAAATAGTAAAATAGTTTGTTTGTTTGTCAACCCCTAAAACATTACTAAACTTCTTTTTGGTTTAAATTAGTTAGACAGGAAAATATATATAGTTAATTATTTTTGACTAATACATTTGACTAATACATGTATATTTATTTCTTTATTCAGTAAAATAAATCATTTGCTTTTTTTCTTATCTTTTTATTTTATTTTTTTTTCAAATAGATAAAAAAAGATTTAAAATAAATGAATTTAAAATTTTTTAACAATATAAAGTAAATAAATGTAAATATTTTAATTTAAATTTACAACAAAAAATGTCATTTCCAAAATCTGACGACCTCCATTCATTAACAACTTCAGACTTAACAAAATTAATTCCGGGCACTCAACATTCATTCCAAACTTTAATTAATCAATTAATTAATTCAAATGGATTTTTAAATAAATTAAATAATAAAAAAATAAAATTAATAAAATCTTTGCCAATTGACGGGCAGGGATTAATGTCCCATACTTTTAAAATTTGTATTTTATTAGAAGAAAATGAAGAGGAATTTAATGCAATATTAAAGGTTACAACAACACAAAAATTAGAAAGATTTAGACCTGGAGAGATTAAAGCTTTTGATAACGTTATTTAATTATTGTTTGAGAAAATAATTTTAAATTAAAGGTATCGAGTATAATATTTGAATTTTGTCAAGCTGAGGCTGATTTTTATGAATTAGTAAATAATTGAAAAAAAATAAAAAAATATTTATTTTTAGGCACTCCCTCATTTTTTAAAAGACAAAGAATTAGCTAAAATTTTACCAAAACTTTATGCTTTACGGCGAAGTCCAGATAAAATACAGATAGAAAAAGGATTTGTTTTAATTGAAGATATGTCTTACAAGGGAATATCTCCAAATATTTATGAAGGATTAAATAATGAACAGGCAATTAAATAAATAAACACTTTTATGTAGTAGTTTTGGCTGTACTTTAGACGGTGGCCCACTCTAAAACCTTCGATATGTATAACATCGAACACTCTCTATCTGCGGAAATGCCTAAGAGCCGAGATATAAGTCCTTAATATCGAAAACCATATTTAGGCGGAGTAAGTCAATCTCTTGGGTCAGAAATGCAAATAATAGCTCATTCGATAGACCTCGTCGAGCTGAGTCGAATGAACCAAAAATCAACGAAATCCGACTGGATTGGACAAATTGTGATATAGTTTGTTTTAGATCCTTACCTATGTATGTTCTCCGTATCAAAAAATCGCCCCGTGGTTCTTCAATATTCAGTGGCCTGATTTAGATACAGGTCCAATCAAGTCGGATCTACTAGTTAAGATACACCTTGGGGTGGCAGCTTCCTTCCTCATTAATTGCCACCCAAATTATTTGAAAAAAGAAATTAATCTAAAATTGGAGTGTATGTAAAATTGATATCTGACTGTCATTATTAATGAAATATGTATATTTTTTTTAATTTTACAGATAAAATCAGCAATTCTTCAATTATCTAAATTACACGCTTCTTCAATGCTTTTACCTTCAGAAATAATTAAAAAATTTAATTTACAACATTATGGTGATATTAGAGGGTTAGAAGAGGATATTTTAGATAGAGTATTGAATATTGGATCCTCTTATTTTCTTTGTCATCAAAAAATACTTTTAGCTTTTTTAAAAAAGCACAACAAATTAAAGACAGATTTACACATTAAATATGGTATTCCCCCAGTTCTTTGTCATGGAGATTTTTGGGCTAATAATTTATTTTTCTCAAACAAAAAAGAAAAACTTTCTGCTATTTTAGATTGGCAAACACCCCACGCAAGTAAATTAAAAAATAAAAAAATTTGTTTAAATTAATTAATTTAGATACAGGTTTAAATGACATTCTTCGTTTAATTTTTACTGGTGTTAATTCTAAATTAAGAAAAGAAAAATTTTGGGAATGGATAGTAAGTAGAGTGGATATCTCTCTAATAAATAAATATATCATCACCCCTCAGAGCTGAATTTAGAAAAATATAGGGAAAAATAATTATGTGTATGAGAAGTTAAAATATTTATTAGAGAGAGATGTTTAACTGTAAAAATAAATAATTAATTAATTAAAAAAAGAATTTATATTTTGATAATTTACAAAAAGAAAGTCAAAAATTGGGTATTTCAATTAATTATTCAAAAGAATTGAGAATATTACTTTATTCAGAACAGGCAAGTTTTTAAAACAGATTTTTTGTTAATTTAATAATTAAATATTTTCTTCACACTCTTAAATTTAAATTTAATTTTTCTTAATTTTCAGCGTCATTTTGAATTAAGTATTTCATTTTTAATATTAACGACAGTCTTTCCTGGAGCTAAAACATTTAAACATCAAAGAGATTTACAAGAAAGAATTGAAACTCTTTTTGAAGAATTTAGGAAAGAATATAAATTATTATTAAATAAAAAAGAAGAAGGAAATAAAAATAATTTTTGTAAAATTAATTAAATAATTATTTAATTGTTTTTTTTTTATTTTTTATTATTTAAAATTAAAATATATCTAAAAAAATCTAGACAAATTAAAATTATTATTATTAATTTATTTTTCTTATCAATTAAAAAAATATTTTTCATTTCTTCCCCTTTTTTGCTTTTTAATAAAATAATTCCTTTAAATTATGTAAATATTTATTTATTGTAAAATATTAAAAAATTTTTCCCTAATTTTTTATTTAATATTTACATTTATTTACTACTTTTTGTTTTATTTACATGATTGAACACAGAAAAGAAATATTTTTTTTAATTAATTGTATATAATGTAGGTACTACGTACATACATTTATTTATTTTAGTACAATTTCCTTTCCAAAAAATATATTTACATTATATATATAATAAATAGAAAATTGTTTTTTTAAAAAAGTTTCTGGCCCGGCCGAAGGCCGGGCCGCTCTTGAGAGTGTGACATCTTGCTGGGTACTTTTTATGGGCTTTACAGGAAAATTAGGCGCGCCGAAATTTGCGGATTTTAATTTGCGGACCCGAAATTTGCGGACCCGAACTTTGCGGACCCGAATTTTGCGGATCTGAGATTTGCGGACCAAAAATTTGCGGACCGACAGTAGAGTCTACTGAACCTCGGAAATTTCAAAAATTTTAGCCTGCGGCGTTAATTAGGATGAATTTAGGCATCATGACCTTATAAAATGGCCATATAAATGATTTTTAAGGAATTTTCTCGATTATCTAAATTATGAAATAATTTTAAGATAGAAAATTGATAAAAATTTTGAAAAATCAAGAAAAAATCTCGAATCCTGTACGGATTATGGTAAACTCTGCCGGAATCCTCGAAAAATAAAATTTTTAATTTTTCCTTTTTACTCAAGTGTCGGGCTTAAAATCTTGGTTCCGCAAAGATCAGGTCCGCAAACTTCGTGTCCGCAACCTTCGGGTCCGCAACTTTCGTTCCGCAAATTTCGGGTCCGCAAAGTTCGGGTCCGCAAAATTCGGGTCCGCAAAGTTCGCGCCACGGAAAATTATCGCCGCGGCGCCACGACTTCTCCTTTGCGCCGAAACGACCCCACGAGTTTTGCTATCTCATGAACTAAAAGTCGGAGCGGAAAAGTCCCGCTGGGAGGGCACTGCTCCTCTATTAGGGGATTAATATAAAAAAAAATTTTTGAAAATCGGTTGAACCCCCGGGGACTTATAGGTGCGCAAACCGAAGTGTCGCATTGGCAAAATGTCGCGCCATAGGGTAGCGGTCTTTTGTACTTTTTTAATATCTCGGGATCCGCGCCGTAGATTAGGATAAGACCTGGGGCCGTATCATAAGAACTCGGTTGCTGGTTAGGTAACCACCAACCGGCGGTTTTAACCGGTATCATAAGACGGTCGTAAGGTTAACCATGACCTTGTGGTTAGGTGACCTGGTTACCTAACCAGCAACCGGCGGTTAAAATCAACCGGTATCATAAGACGGTGGTTGCTGGTTAGGTAACCATAACCACGTCGTCAAAAAAGCTACCATGGTCGATAGCAGGGTTGAAAAAAGTAACCATGGGCTTTTAAGTTTAATAAAAAATTTCAAAATTAAAATAAAATTCTGAAATAAAATTTTTTCAATATTTTAAACAATTCTCTATCTAAACATATAAATTTTGTGAATTTTGACCGAGAGAAAAAATTTTTTCGAATTTTTAAAAAAGTCACCCTAAAATCGAGCAATTTCCTTGGGTAAAAATTTGTGTTATGACGGAAATTTTTTATAAAAAATTTTAAAATTAAATTAAAATTCTAAAATAAAGTTTTTTAAATATTTTAAAGAATTCTCTATTAAATCATATAAATTTTGAAATTTTTAACCGAGTAAAAAATTTTCTATATATTTTTTAAAAAGTCACCCCAAAATCAAGCAAATTTGTCCAGTAAAAAATATTCGTAGTGACAAAAATTTTTTATAAAAGGTTATAAATTCAGGATAAACTTAGGTAATAAAAATTTTCGGATACTTTAAACAATTCTCTGTCAAACTATATGATTTTTATATATTTTTAGTGTCAATAAGATTTTTTATAGATTTTTGAAAAAGCCAACCTAAAGACGAGTAATTTCTAGGCTAGAAATTTTCTGTAAAAATTTTTTAAAAATAATTCACTCGATCCCTTATTAACCTAAATAATTTTCACAAATTTTTTCCTTGAAAAATTTTTTAGGTATTCTCATAAATGTCTATTAAAAAAAATTTCTAATGTGAAATTTAGTGTTTAGGTTTTTTTAAATATTAGATATTTTTTGATAGAAAAGGATGTGTTTTACAGTTTGATAAAATATCCCTAAATTATCATTGGAAATTAATATTTAATACAATTTAACATATAGGCATATATCAATATAGATAAGAGATACAAAAGAAACGAACTTCTAACATCATTATATCATCGAGATCTAAAGACTCGAAATCAAAGAAAAATCGGAATTAAACGTCTTTAATAACTACCCTTATAGGTGGAATAAAAATTTTATTTTGGGCTTATTTGAAAGCCATTGAAATGCTAGAAGATAGCACTAATTTTATTTTCCGAAAAAAATCAGCTGTAAGACCTAATTTAATAAACTTTCAGGTCATAGAAATCATTCAAATGCCCCCTAAAAGTGACAAAAATGTAAACTATGAACTAAACTTATTATTTTTCAAAGGAGAATTTTTTCTGGAAAATGTAATAAACTGTAGCAAATTTCAAGGGCTTTCATAAAAGCCCAAAAAATTTTTTTATTCCACCTCTAAGGAGTCGAAAATATTTTTTAAATACGTCTACCCCCGATTTTCTGTAGATTTCGAGTTCGTTTCATAAGTATTTCTTATCTATATTGATAGATATCTTTAGAGAAATTTTTATGGAAATTTTTATCTTTAGAGAAAATTTTACAAAGACGCCTTGTGCCAAAAGAAGATTTACATATTTCCAAAGGTAAATTTAGGATATTTTATCAAACGATAAAACACATCCTATTCTATCAAAAATATCTAAATTATAATTTTCAGCATAGCTATTTACGAGCAGTGATGCAAAAGTTCCAGTTCCGGAACTGGAACCGCCAAATATAAAAAAAGTAGTTCCGGAACTGGAACCACTAAAATTTAAAAACCGGTTCCAGAACTGGAACCAGTTCCAGAGAAATTTTGGAACTTATGCATCACCGTTTACGAGTAGACTTTTTTAAAAATTCACAGGATTTTTTCATAGTAAAAATTTTTAAAATTGTAAAATATCGCTAGAAATTAGTTTAAAATATGGAAAAATTTTATTTAAAAATTTTATTTTAATTTTAAAATTTTTAAAGAAAATTTCAAGGTCACTTTTAAATTTTCAACATAGCCTATCATAGAGCAAGGGGAAACAAAAGTAATGGAAAGACGAAAAAAATATTTCGGGATAAATTTAAAATTTTTTAAATTAGCCCCTGCTCCTTTATTTCTCCTTTAAATATTTTAAAATTAAATGTAAAAAATAAAAATATTAATTAAATAAAAATTTAATTTTTATAACGGTATCATAAGAACGTGGTTGGTGGTTAGGTGACCTTACGACGGTGGTTAACCACGTGGTTTTCTTATGATACCGGTTTACAATGACCTTGTGGTTACCTAACCATGGTTACCTAACGATGGTTAGGTAACCATCGTTAGGTGACCGAGTTCTTATGATACGGCCCCTGGGGGTAATAGGTAAACGGCCATGGGGAGTTTAATGGCATAGGCCGTTTTGGTTCCGCACTTGAGTGTGGCACCGAAACGGCCAAAAGTCAAAAAAACACCGAGGCCGAAGGCCGAGGAGAATGGCGGGCCGAAGTAGGCGAGGACCGAAGGCCCGAGAGACCACAGTTGCTGAATGCACCACAGCGGTCTAACCCATCGAAAAAGTCTAACATTGGCGTTTGGGGGCCGAAGGCCCCTAAACGCCTCGGGACAACCCATCACAGTTGCTGAATGCACCACATCGGTCAAACCCATCGCAAGAGTCTAAAATTAGCGTTTGGGGGCCGAAGGCCCCCAAACGCCTCGGGTCAACCTACCACAGTTGCTGAATGCACCACAGCGGTCTAACCCATCGAAAAAGTCTAACATTGGCGTTTGGGGGCCGAAGGCCCCTAAACGCCTCGGGACAACCCATCACAGTTGCTGAATGCGGTCAAACAAAAAAAAATTCGGTCAAACCCATCGCAAGAGTCTAAAATTAGCGTTTGGGGGCCGAAGGCCCCCAAACGCCTCGGGACAACCAGCCAAAGTTGCAAAGCATAGATCATCCGAGGCCGAAGGCCGAGGAGTTGGCGGGCCGAAGGCCCGCCGTGGGCGAGGGCCGAAGGCCCGAGCTTTCATTACATCTAAAAGGCAGAGCAATTGTCAAAGGCAGAGTATCCGAGGCCGAAGGCCGAGGAGTTGCCGGCGAGGGCCGAAGGCCCGAAGCACCGCCGTAGGCTAGGGCCAAAGGCCCGAGCTTTCATTACATCTAAAAGGCAGAGCAATAGTCCAAGGCAGAGCATAGATCCTCCGAGGCCGAAGGCCGAGTTGGCGGGCCATATGCCTGCCGTAGGCGAGGGCCGAAGGCCCGAGCTTTCATTACATCTAAAAGGCAGAGCAATAGTCAAGGGCAGGGCAAAATTTATCGGCTCGGGCCGAAGGCCCGAGCTCCAACCCATCTAAAAGGCAGAGTAATGGTCAAAGGCAGGGCAAACTATACCGGCGAGTGCCGAACGCCCGAAGCCGGAGCAAGGAAGATAGGAATAGGTTTATGTTATTGACCCAGAACCCAGGGACCGTTGACGCCCCGCGAGGCGCGTGCCACAAAACCCCGCGCGAAGCGCGGGGTTTTGCACAAGCGCCTCGCCTACGCTCCATAGGTTTAGCTTTTTCGAACCGAGGCCGAAGGCCGAGGAGTTTAGCGGCTCGGGCCGAAGGCCCGAGCTTTCAACCCATCTAAAAGGCAGAGTAATTGTCAAAGGCAGGCCAAACTTTACTGGCGAGGGCCGAAGGCCCGAAGCAATGAAAAGGCAGGGCTAATCTTTGCCGGCGAGGGCCGAAGGCCCGAAGCAATGAAAAGGCAGGGAAAATTATACCGTTTCTAGCAGCACGCGAAGCGCGCCCCAAAGCCGATAGGCTTTCCAACGGGCACCGCAAACTAAACAACCAGAGTATTCTAATAGGAATTGCATACGCACTACGCCGCCATCGCATACGTAACTACAGCTAGTTATTTATTTTTAAATTAAAAAGAAAAATGATTAGTAATTTTCAACAACAAATCGATTCTTCCAATCCAAATTTTACAATAAAATTTATTTTGGATCAATTAATTAAATCAAAACAAAAACCCCTAGGTTTAGAAGGAATTGATGAGATTGAAAGTGTTAATGTTAATTTAATGGGAATTGGTGGATTTATTTCCAAATTATTTAGAATTAAAATTAAATTAAATAAAAATGAAAGAAAAGAAGAATTTAATTGTATTTTTAAAGTAAAATAAATAATTTTTTTGGAAAAAAATTAAATTTATTTTTAGATACCAACAATGGAAAAATTGGATGGAGAAGTAAAATATGACAGTAAAGGAGTGAGGAAATAATTAATTTTATTTTTAAAATAAATAAAAGCTGTCAGTAATCTAAATAGCAATTCTTTCATAGGGATGGGTAGACATTTCTGATTTTATATTATTCAATGAATAAAATTTTTAAAATAAATTTATTTTCAGCGTGAAGATTTAATTGAATGGATAAATCATGTCCATAAATCAGAATGTCGATTTTACGATGAAGTAATTAATTAATTAATTTAATTTTTATATTTAATTTAATTTAAAATAAAAGGTTTTGCCATTAATTCAAAATTCGCCAATTTCTTTAAATTTTCGAATACCGCAAGTTTATGCCTTTAAATATTCTGAACAATCTAAGGATTTTTTGCTTATGGAGGATTTATGTTTTACTAATCAAAAATTATTTCAAGTAGAATTGGCTGATGGACTTAATAATGAACAAGTAAATTATTTAAAAATTAATTTAAAAAATATTTAAAGGTTGAATCAGCAATTTCTTCAATTGCACATTTTCATGCCCTTAGTTTAAGTTTTCCATCAAAATTAATTGATTCTTTTAAAAATCATCCAAATTTGGATATTGACGAGAAAAGTTTAAAAATAAAAGAAAGAATATTTTCTACTCCAGACACAGCAGAAATGTTTAAAGGAAATGAAGAAAAACTTTTAAATTTATTTGATAATTTTGGTAATTATAGAATAGATCAACATAAAGAGTTTGGATTAGATCCAGTTATTGTACATGGAGATATGTGGTTTGTTAATGAACCTAGAGAGCTCTCTGGACTCTTTGGGTGGTGGATTGTTCTGCTGTCCAGGGAATTTATTTTTTCGTGTCGGCAGGGATAATACAAAAATCCTTTCGAGTCCAGTAAATTATTCGATCAACTATTTTAACACAAAACATTAGAACATCCATCAACTATTGGGTACTCAAATAAAATTTTGGGTATTTTATTCAATATTATTTATTGAATATACCCACTATTATTTATTTATTAGAGATGATTTAAAAATTATTTTTAGGACAAACAATTTTTTCTTTAAAAAAACTGAGGACAGATCAGAATTTGATGCTTTATTTGATTGGTAAATAAATTATTATTTTTGTTGGACTAAAAAATATTTAAAAAAGGCAAGTAGTCCACATAGGTACAGGAATAAACGACATTGTTAGACTTATTTTTATTTGTGTTGATGCTGAATTACGTCGTTTAAATTCAATTAAATGGTTACAAATTTATGAAAAATCATTTAATAAAATAATTAAAAAATTGGGAAAAGAAGAAAAGAATTTAAAATCTTTTAAATTAATTAAAGAAATTGCAATTTATCATTCAAAATATGAATGTTGTTTTCAATTATTTTTAATTGCAAATATTTTGGGACAAGAAAAAGAAAAAACAAAAAGAGAAAAACTTATAAATAGAATGAAATGTTTATTTGACGATTGCTGTAAAGAAAATGGATTTTTTAATGAATAAATAGATTTTGATATTTAAAAATAAAATTTATTTTTTTTAATTAGTTTTTCAAATCGCTAAAATAAATTTAGTCGGAATAAAGTAAGAATCATAAAGTTTATATAGTAAAAAATGTTTAAAGTACATTTTTGACATTAGGAGTAAAGAAACCGTTGCTGGGAGTTTTAGAATTTAAAATTTTCTGAATCCTAGAATTTCCCCAAACTTTATCGAAATATCCAAATATTTATAAATCAGGACAGAAATAAATTTAACAAAAAAGTACTTGAATAACCTTTTAATACCAACCAAAAAATTAATCGTCACGAGTCAAAAAAGAAAATCCAATTCGTTCGTCCATTCCGGTAAATAATTCCATATGCAAATTTGAACCAACATTTCCATCCGGATCACGGGATATTTGGGAAGCAGAAGAAAACAAACTAATGTAAAGATGTTTTTAAAAAATTGTAGTATATTTTTTAAAAATTGAACAAAGTTCAATCACGTTGATTTTAGTGTCATTCGATACACACAACTTAAGACTGACTGGCCATTTTTTACATATTTAACGAAAAAATTGACTGGGGGGGGGGGGGAGTAAATAACCAAATTCTAAAATTTTTCTAGAAAAACATACAGAGCCATGTGTTCGGCATAAGCCCGACCAACTAGAAGTTCGGTTTGTTTGAGATGATCAGCGATTGTAGGCGAGAAATTCAAGAAAGAAGGTTTATCCTTATTTGATTAAAAAACAAGTGAAAATTTAAAAATTTCTAAAATTTTACCTTAGCCTTCAGATCACGTTGAATACCTAATTGGCCAACTTCATCCATAGTTTTTGAATCAGAATTCATATTTAAGCAAAATCTTTAAAAAAAGTAAATAAAAACAATGAAGATAAGGGAAAATTAATAACACAAAAAAGTCATCAAAAATTATTCTCTACTTTTTCTCAGCGTCTCTCTTTTTTCTGTATTCTCTTTATTATTTTTTATGTTTGGCGTTGTGTTTTAAATAATTTTTAAAGATTTATTTTTTACTTTTTTGGATTTGTTTAACTAATTTTAAGAAACTAAAAATGTTTTCTCAACAAAAATTTTCTGAAGTTGCGGCTGATTCTTCAATACCAGCTTATTGTATTAAAACACTTGGCAGCCGTCATGTAATTATTGGAGGAGGTGGTGGAAGTGCTAAAACTGGAGTTCTTAATAAACTTGAAGTATTTTTTTTCTTTTTACTATTTATTTTTTCTTTTATTTTTTTACAGCTTTATCTTCTTACATATGAAAACGAATTTAATTTTAAATCTTTAACAACAATTGGGTCACCAAAAAAATTAATTGCTCGTTTAAATTGTTGTATTAATACTTGTGATTTTGCTAATATGAATTTAGATTGTATTGTTTTAAATAATCAACCAGAAAAGGGCTGTTATCTTTTAGCTGTTGGGCAAGATAAGGTTTTAAAAAAGTTTTTTTTTAATTTAAAATCATTTTGTAGTTTTGTACCCTATATAAAACGACCGGTTTTTGTTTGGGCGATGAAACAAATGGTGGTGGATTATCACTTAATTTCAATAGCTTGTTTAGGATAGAGACTGATAAACGAATAGACGGCGATTCTTATCAGGTTTCTATTTATTTATACAAATATTCTCACTTCAGTAATTTGTTAATATTTAAACAGAAATGTGTTCGATTATTTCGACCGAAAGACATTCCCAACCAAATAAAAATGGTTACAGCAGGAACTGATGGATATGTTCGTTGTTGGTCTATTACAGCAAATTTATTAGAAAATAGGAGCAGTAGATATTCTTCAACTGATATTCCAAATATTTTGGATAATTTCTTGCCTGAATTAGAAATTGAAACTGGAAAAGAGTCAATTGAAGAAATTGATGTTTCTGATTGCGGGAAAATTTTGGCAACAGTTTTGGGACAATCAACCATTTTATGGAGTTTAAATAGGAATAAAGATGACGAACCGCGTTTATTAACACTTCCTACAGATAATGGACCAGAAGAAATAAATACAAAAAAATTTAAAGTAAATTTAAGAAATTTTTTTATTTGTTATAATTAATTCTTTTTTAGGTTCGCTCTCTCCGTTTTACTTCACTTGATAGAAGTGGAAAACATTCCATTTTTATTACAATCCATAATCAAAGAATTAGAAGTTCAAAAGAAGTTTCATGTATTGCTTTGTGGTGTTTTAATAAAGAAAATTTAAATTGTAAAATTATTAAATGGAAGAAAGCCTGCAATGAAGTAATTTTTAAATAAAGAATAATTTTTTTAAACAATTTTCCTTGTTAAAAATATTAGTCTTTTTAAAAATATTTTTATGTAATTTTAGGCAATATCTTGTATTGAATTAAGTGAATGTAATAAATTTATTGGAATTGGCACAATGAGTGGAAGTATTGGAATTTTCGACACTCAAACTTTAAATCAATTATTATTTTTACGTTCTGTTCATTCTTCTTTTGTAACAGCCTTATCTTTCTTTTCACAAAGAACTTATGATGCAAAAGATCTTGGACGTATTGGAGGTGGAGATGACAGAAAAGGACATTGTTTTTTACCTGGAATTTGTGCAAATTCGAGAACTTCAATTATTTCAATTAGTGTTGATAAAAGAATTATTGTTAGTTTTTTAATTAATTTTTTTATAAATAATATTTATATTTAGGTTCACCAATTACCCTTTCCTGTTAATGGCACATTTACTGGATTTTTGCTTCGACTTTCACTTTTTGTTGCATTTTTTTATTTTTTGTTTTGGGCAATATTTGTTTATTAATTTTTTTTAATTTTAAAGAATCTAATACTTTTTTGTGTTTTTTGGTGATTTTAATATATAAATAATAATTATATTTTTTGTGATAAATTTGTGATAGATTTTTATTTTTAAAATTTTTGTTGTTATTAAATTCATTATTTAATATTTATTTTAGTTTAAAAGATTAAATTTTATACTTACTTTTAGATAATATTACAATTCAAAATTGCTTTGGAATTATTGTAACGATTCTCCGGTTTGTTATTATTATATGTTCATATTAATTTTTAACACTATTATGTGGTAATTTTGTGGGTCCTCGAAATTGGGAAAAATGGGGACCTAGAAATTCAAAGGGCTACAGTGTATATTATGTATGGTTCCAATTAAGATATCCTTTAATATTAAAACAAATTGTTCGTGTTTTATAGAATACAGACTCAAAATTTTTTAATTTTAGAAATGCTTAGTCAATTAAATATAAACGTTGTGAACAATACACCAACATCTACACCAAGGAATATCAATATTGTCAAACAATCTCAAAAGTCTGTTGGACGTACTATTGATTTTGGTGCTGATGATGGTGAGGAGAATGATTTGGCTTTGCGAAATAAAAAGATGGAAGGAGAAAAAAAGCAAAACAACTTGAAAACCGAAACGGCTGAGAAAAATGGCAAAATCATCAATGAGAATAAATTGAAACAAACGAAGGAAAAGAAGGCAACATCTACATATGTTAATCCAGATCCGGATATGCGTTTCACATATTTTGGAAATGTGAAGCCTGGTGGGGATTTTCTTTTTAATTTTTTGAAGGTTTTTTTAGAAAACTGTATTTTGAATTAAAAAAGTATTAAATGACTTCCTCTTTTTCGATTTCCAAAAACAATATTTATTTATTTATAGATCTCTATGAGAATACATTCATTCGTTTGTTGGAAAAGGAGTCGTTTGAGAAACTTGAAGATGATTGGCCGAATAATTCTGATTCGAAGGCAAACGACAATTTCGATATTTTCGAGCAATTGGATGATGAATATGAGAATGGATATTCAAATCTGGTAATATAAATGAAGGAAATTTGTTCGTCAAAACCTCAACTTGCCTTATTCACTTAACCATTAAAATGAGAGATTAAACCTTTAAAAGGTTTTAAATTGACAATTCTTTTTTCGCTATAATACTTCAATTATTTAATCTCAAATTTATTTTTTTAAATCTCACTTATGAACAAAAAGCTTTTTTTAGTTTTTCGGTTTGAATTGTTTAAACAAAATTTACTCCAAGCTTTTGTTTGCCAGTAAATTTAGGGTTACTTTTATTTTATTATAGAATAACTCTAATTAAAATCTCACAATTATCAAAAGCCTTTTCTTTTTTTTGAATAAATATATTAAATAAAACAATTTTATCCGGCAGAAAGGGAAAAAATATCTTTAAGAAATTTCCAAAATAGAGACCGGACTAAGAGTCACCAGCCAACTTGGTCTGTGTGTACCACACCTATTTGCAATAGGTTCACTGTATTCCCATGAAATCTTTGGGAATAGAGTTATCGAACTTCACCCAGAGTTATCGAACTATAGTTTCTAAAAATAACCAAAGATAGGTACTTATCGCTATAGAGTCTATGTCGTTTAAAAACTCCGGAGAAAAGAGAAAAAATAAAATGGAGGCATATAATGCAATAATACCAAAATTAATATTTAAATAAATTATTAAATTCGTAACAATATAATAATAAAACAAATTCCAGTAAATAACATACAAATAATTGTCACACCTAAAAGTAAATTAGTTCTATTATAACGGATTTTCTTTTTCTGTTCTAATTTGTAATTATTTAATTGTTCGATAGTTGGTTGAGGAGAAGAAGAATGTTGTTGTTGTTGTTGAGTATTTTGTTTTGGTACTTTAAAAAATAAATTCATTTTTAAACATATATTCTTTAAAATTAATTACCAAATATTTTTTCTCCAACATTTTGTTGTTTTTGTTTATTTTCCTTATTTATTAAATTATTTTTTGGTACTCTTTGTTTCCATCTATTTTCATTCAATATTCTTTTGTTAAATCTCGAATTTGGCTTTAAAAGAGGATATTTTTTTAATCTAAATTTAAAAATTACTAACAAAATAATTTTGTTTTTGCCAGGGGAGGGAAGTATTAGAATATGGATATTGTTGTTGTTGTGAGGATTTAAATATTGGGGAATTTTGGAATTGATGATT